TATCTTAATACATCTGATAAAGATATATTTGATGAAGAATTATGTTCAATATGAATTTATTATTTGTCAAAAAAAGAAAGAAGCTATTTGATGCTAAAAATAAATTCAACATTTTATTGTAATTATTCAAACTAATTCAACACTCAATATAATTTGCATTTTCGATCATGAAAATATTTTCATTTCTTCAAGAAATTAACTTGTTGTTCAATTAACAAATTTATTAAGATTTATTGATAAATTCTTGTATAGATATAATTTCTTTTTAATAACCGAGTTTTTAATTTTCTTTCAATTTTGGATCATTATCTGATTCTATTTATGCAATAATTCTAATTGAAATGAAGTTACATTATTATAAAGAAAAGAATATTTATTTTGTTTTTCAATTGTTTCTCTTTCATTATTTATATGTTAATTCTTAATTCTTCTTGTTATTGTCTATCACAAGAGTAATCTTCTCTTTATACCAGATAGTAATGCACTTATCACATCAATTGGTAATCGAGTGAATGTGATCGATTTAAAAATATATTGTATATGATTCATTGTTGATCAAAATCAATATTTTATTTTAGTGATCGATCAAAAACATTATCATTTGCAAGTGAATTTAATACTATTTGTTTAATTCTCTCATCTAATGATGCACTTTTACTTATTGTTAACGAGAGTAAGAATTAGATTATTTTAATTTCAAAATATTTCATGTATTTTTTCATAGCTGATCGAGGATATTTATATAATGTCAAATGTCGTAGATTGATTGGTATTCATCGTTTTGAACATGATGTGTGTACAATCAAATTCAGTCTTGATTCCAAGTAAATATAATATTAACGATTTAGGTATTATAAATCTATTGCATAATACTTAAAAAAAATCTTTTAATACAGAAGTAATATAATATTATTTGTCTGTTTCGAATTTATTTTAACAACGTAGATGAATTGTCAATGAAAGTTTTATTTAAGATTTAAATAAGCTTTCATTTTTACTAATAAGTTTTCGACATAAGAAAAACTTTTTTTTTTATAGATCTGTAGCTGTTTGTCGTAGTAATGGATCGTCAATTCAATTTGTTTACTTTAAAATTTATTCTTCGTTCATTTCATGATAAAACAACATTTATCAATTGGACAAGTGATTTTCTGTATGTTATATTTTTCTTTCATAAAAATAAAACCAGAGGAAATCATTTTTATTTCATAGTGTTCTGGCCGTTATTAGTGGAGATATGATAACTAAAATATTTAGTGTCTCTTTACTAGATAAACTACATCGATTTATATTAGTTAGTCATGTTTGTGAAATAGTCGGCGCTTTTTTTGAACAAGATTCATTGAATGTATATCCATAATTGCCTTTATTTTTCAAATGATATTGTTTTTTTTCTAATATAGATAATGACTATTTGTAAAAATGGAAAAGTCAATTATTGGACTGCAGATATGGATTTAGCATCTATGGAATTAATACCATATATACCTAGTGAAAATGATAATTAAGAAATTCCGACATCATCAAATGGTTATGTTGATAGAAATGATAATGATAATGAAGAATTAGATAATGTTGTTGAACGACAATGAATTAAACTTTTAGCAAAAACAAAAATGTTTAGATGAATATCTTATGAAAAATCGAGCTAAAAATGATATAGTTGTTTTCCAACGAATGAATAAGTAAAATACAAAAATAAATCAATTTTTTTTTTACAAAAAAAATCGTTTTTATTCTATTCTATAGGTTTAATTATAAAGAAACATTTGAAGATGCTGATCATGGCACTTTACTTCTTTGTGCTGATCATCAAAAAACACATATGTTAGTAGCAGGATTTTCAAGTCGACATTTTTATCTTCATGAAATGCCTAATTTTAATATTATTCATTCTTTAAGGTTTGAATATATTCTTTTCTGTTTTAAAAATATTCAACATTCTGTTTATAATATAGTATTGACGATCAAAAACAAATGATAGCATCAGTATTATTCAGTCCATTAGCTGATTGGATTGCATTAGTTTGTCAAAATCTTGGTCAACTTATTGTATAAGAATGGCAAAGTCAAACATATGTACTTAAACAACAAGGACATTTTAATAATATGACTCAATTAACTTATTCATCGGATGGAATACATATAGCAAGTGATGGTGATGATGATGAAAAAGTTTACTAAATTTGTTTCCAAAAACCAATATTCGAAAATTTTCAATCTAGATCAAATTATGAAATACATCGAATGGCTTTTGTTTTGTCATATTTTCTAAACATGCATCTACAGCAACTGGTCTTGAATTTGTATCCAATGAACAATTTATTCTATCAAGTTCATTTGATGGAACTGTTCGTACTTTTGATCTTTTTGAGGTTAGATTATGAGATCTGAAAGGGAAAAAAATTGCCGCAAATTGAGTTCAGATATCTGCTTCCGGTCATAAACACCCTTAGAATAAATAGTGTAAAGGTCGAATCTATCTCTAAATGTCCATAAATTTCCTTGAATCTTATGAAGAGTTTTTTTTTAAGGTATTGAAATTTTCGAACGTATACATCTCCAACATCAGTATAATTTTCATGTATTGCATTGAATGCTGCTGGTGAAGTTGTATGTGTCGGTGGTTTTAATATATTTAATATGTTTTTTTTTCATTAATTAAAAATGAAAAATTACTTGATGTAAATTTTTTATTTTTATATAAACAGAAGAAAAACTTTTTTTTTTAACTTAGATTCTTAGTAAACAAGAAGGTCCAATTAGTGCATTAACATTTGCTCGAAATATTACTAAAACAGCATTAGCAATTTGTTCATGGGATAAAACATGACGAACATGGAGTGTATTTGTTAGTCAAAGTTCAAGAGAAATATTTCTTTTATCAACTAATGGTTTGAAATAATGAAAATTTTTCCTAAAAATTTTTATTCAATATTTTATCTTTAGTATTATGTTATGCTTTACATCATGATGGAAAACAGCTTGCTGTATCAACAGTTGATGCTCAAATACTTCTTTTATCCTGAAACTGATCAACAGACAGCATCAATTGAAGGTAAGCATGATTTAGGTTGTACAAGAAAAGAGACAGATAAAGTTATAGGAGAAAAAAAAAACTAATATTTGGAAGGTAAAATTGATAAGGAAGAATTTTTTAAGGTGCGAATAATGCAAAATTCAAGCAAAATTTTTTTCGTTTTTTTTTTACATATGGCTGGATAGAGCTCGTTGAACTGAATAAAAATATATATATGCGATATTTTTTTGAACAACTTTTAGGGGAGAAAAAAATCAGTTTTTTTGGATAACCCTCAATGGTCCATTTTTGTGCTTAGTTTTTTTTCTGTTGACAAAACGACGACGATAAGTTTTTTGAGTTTTTTTCAACTTTTTCAGTTCATTGAAATTATAAAAATGGTATATTCGGATTCGTCGTGAAAAACTGCGTCGATTGCATTTATTTTTATTGTACTTTGAATGTTCCTCGGTAAAGACATATATATAAAACATGTATAGTCTACTGCCAAAAAAAAAAGTAAAAAATTGGTATTTGGTGGATTTTTTTGCAAAGCTATCTAGTTTTTTGTTTCTCGTAGTATAACTGAGTTTTATATACCATTAGAACCACCCGACGACGGGCTTCAAAAGATTATTATCATGGCGCCATCCAGGTTCATCTCTCAAACAAGAGCAATCCTGCAAAAAGCTATTTGGTAGGACTGATTTTAAGTGTGCTTTAAGAGGATCGGAACCTTCAGGATCAATAAGGCACTCGAAAAGATCATCCATTCTTCATCACCTGCGTTGACGACAAACCCTATGTATCCCGCTCTCTAAAGTATACCCCAAAACTCATGATTGGTGCTCGAACAAGTTTCCGTTTAATGACAACATTTCATTTACCAGTCAATATGATAGAAACAAAAGATTTTGTAGTTTTACGAAAAAGCTCTGAAAAAAATTAGCTCGAAGTAAACAATCACTTTTTACACTTGAGACAGACAATCAACAAAATTATTTTAAAATGAATTTCATACAAGAAACAATTAATAAATTAAAAGATTAAATAGTTTTCGAGAGTTTCGATAAAAATTTTAAAGAATCTCATTGTTTTTAATCAAAGTAAGTCAGTTAGGGACTTTCTGTGTGATGAATGGATTCTTTCTATTTGTTACTATAAACATTTTAACTATCGAATATTATCGTACTGAAAAGAAAAAAAAAAGAATCGATTCATGTCGTGTTATCTGTTCGAATATATTCTATTCTATTGCATTGTCGACTTGATCTACATAAATTTATAGATAATTCTTTATAATAGATCAAACTGTTTATATTCCATTCATTATCTTTTTCTCTTTAGAAATTTTATTCTTATTCATCGAAAACCAATGTCTAATACAAATTTCGATACAGATCTTATTCAAATAGCAAAAGTTGATGTTTTTGTTGATGATCAAAGTGAAGCAGAACAGAGTTCAACTAGTATTGGAACACATGCATTAGGTCCGTGCATGTGTTTTATCTAGGGGTGGGAAGTTACCGTTCCCGGACCGTTCCCTGGGAACGGTAACGGTAACGGTTGCAGGGGAAAAAGTTACCAGTTCCCCGGTAACTGGTAACGGGGTAGTTACCAGTTACCAGGTAACTAGTAACTGTTCCGTTACCAGTTACCCGGGAACGGTAACGGGGAGTTACCAGTTCCCAGGGAACGGGGAAACGGCATTATAAGGGGGTACCTTTAGGTTCTCAAGTCCTATACTATGAGGGTACCCTTGGGTCCTTAACTCCTATACCATGGGGGTACCCTTGGGCCCTTCAAGCCTATATTATAGGGGTACCCTTGAACCCTCAAGTCCTATTATTGGGGGACACCCTTGGGTCCTCAAGTCCTATTATTGGGGGCGTCCGACGAGGTTCAGATTTTTTTCCCTTATTGTGAAGGAAAGCGATGGGTATGTTTGAGCCAAACATAGGGTTATCGAGGGTGCTCTATCGATTGATGTGTATATATAGGGGGCCCCACCCATCCCATCACTGAGAAATAGGACCCTGCCATATGGTTGGTCCAAAAATAGACCGATCAGATTCCAGGAGCCTTTTTTCCGTTATTGTAAGGACAACACATAGCCATGTTCGGGCCAATCATAGGGTT